AAGCTGGGTTATATCTAAACACACGTCCTATTCTTATGCCCTATATGGTGATGCATATGTCTCCAAAACTCAACAGGTGGACAAATCTAAATTAGTTTTTAATAAAATATAAAATATAAATATGCATATGATAAATAATACTGCTAATAATAATAACATTATACAAATGCAAATTGTCATGAATAAAAATAATAATAATAAATGAATAAATAAATAAAAAAAGACCCTGGACATGAAGAAGGCAAGAAGGTAGTGGTATTTATATTTATGTAAAAAAAAAAAAAAAACTTTTTGTAACATTTTAATTCTTTATTATTTTAGTATTGCTGTACATCATGTGTGTATTAAACAATGTGTAAGGACTTCAGACCAGCTTTTAGTTTGTCAATGGCATAGTCTATTTCAGTTAATCAAAATAGCAATGCATCTACAATGCACCTTAACACACTTCTTTTTTAGACAGGAACACCCAAGAGTCCACAAAGTGGCGTAAATGGATTTGCAATTTAAACAACTTGGGGTAAAACGTGAAAATTAGAGTTGCTATGGTCTGAAAATAGCAACAAATTATGCCATGCATGTCTAGCACTTTATTGTGCCAGGTGTATTATTTTGCCCTACATATTTTTAGATTTGATATTTTTTTAGAATTTTTATTTTAATGCATTTTTTGGACAAGCTTACGTGCTTGAAATGACCAGGCCACACTTTATTTCTCATTGAAGGGCTTTTACAAAAACAGGTGTGTCACAGGTGCACCTTTTGCTAAAACTGCAGTTTAAGTTCAGCTGAATAAGAAAAAAAAAATCATAATAAACGTGGTCTACAGTTGAGTGCACAGATAGCCACAAGAAAATAGACTTTAAAATTAGGTGGCTGCTCATGAAGGCAATTGGCGCTGCAGGTTTTTCAGAGGAATCTCTTTCTGCACATTTGGTTCATCTGAGGGTAGAGAGAGCTCTTTGGATTTTGTGCCAGTGGAAATGTCATGTTCTGCATCTGCAGCGGTGTGGCAGGATTGCCGCTGTCTCTGAGATAAATCTCTGTTTTAACAGACCTGACGGAGGGAATGGGTGACAGCAGGGGACAGTGCTCTCTGCCTTCAATCTCATACCTAGGCAGTGTGAGTGAAAACCACTGAAGTGAAGGAAAACTATCTTGGCATTTGGAAAGTCACTGGAGACTGATAACATAAATAAGCACTATACATAAATAAATAAAAATCACTTTTGTAAAAGCAACAAAAAAAAGCAAATTGCAATCAGTGTTTTAAAGAGGTAGCAATATATTTTCATTGTTTATATAACAATATCAGTGATATAAATATTATCTTTCTGAATTAGTAACATAATATTATAGTTTTCAGTAACTGTTTTCCAATGTATTATTATTTGATGTTTTTATTACCTGTAATTCAAAGTTATTATTATCTTTTTTTATTTCAGTAGCCATTACTTCTGTTATCAGTGTCAAACATCTGTTTCTTATTATGCTGGTAACTTATATTTTTGTTGAAAACAGTTTAATGGTTTACAGTTAACGGTTTAAAACAGCGGATTGTCTTATGACTATCAGTATAAACTAAAAATAAACATTACCAGTTTAAAAACATAGTTTATGATTTAATGGGTGTTTTCCCTTTATTTAGACTTTGGAATTACAACCCCAAATCAGAATAAGTTGGGACAGTATGGCAAATGCAAACAAATAAATGAATATAATGATTTCCAAATTTTGCAATTTTTATTGCAGACAATATAAAGACACAAATATTTCATGTTTTGTCTGGTCAACTTCATTTCATTTGTCAATATAAACCCTTTCCTGTCACTCAGACCAGCAACACAAAGAAAGTTGGGACAGGAGCAATTTGGGGCTAGTAATCGGGTAAATTGGTTAAATAATGATGTGATTTAAAACAGGTGATGTCAACAGTTGATTGTAATTATGATTTGGTACAAAAGCAGCATCCAAGAAAGGTCTAGTCCTTTATGAGCAAAGATGGGCAGGGGATATTCAGATTGCCATAAATATGTGTGAAAATTATTGTAATGTTTAAAAAAACAATGTTTCTCAAAAAAATGAGGAAGACATTTGGGTATTTCACCTTTAACAGTGCATAACATAATTAAAAGATTATAATTAAAATAACTAAAGTGAGTAAAGAACAAGGGTGCAAGCCTAAGCTGAACAATTGTAATCTCTGATCCCTCAGGGGGTACTGTATCAAGAATCATCATTCATCTATAAGCGATATCATCACATGGGCTCAGGACTACTTTGGCAAACCTTTGTCAAGTAACACCATATATATCCACAAATACCAGTTTGAACTATGTTGACAGTGTCCAGAACACCCTCGACTTTTCTGGGCTCGGAGACATCTGAGATTGACTATTACACAGTAGAAACGTGTATTGTGGTCAGATGAAACGGTATTTCAGGTATTTTTGGGAGAAATTGATGATTTGTGTTCCGGACCAAAGAAAAAGATTATCCAGATTGTTACCAGCAACAAGTTCAAAAGCCAGGGTCTGTCATGGCAGAGTTTGTGTCAGTGCCCTTGGCAAAGGTAACTTGCACTTCTGTGATGGCACCATTAATGTTGGAAAGTACATAAAGATTTTGGAGCACAATTCGCTGCCTTCAAAAGACATATTTTCCAGGGAATGTGTGGTGTATTTTGAAGCCTAAAATGTGACAATGAAGACTCTTACCGTTGCTAAGCTAAAGATTTGTTTGCAGGAAGAATAGGACAAATTACACCTGAAATATTTCATCGCTTTGTGTCTTCAGTCCCTAAACATCTTTTAAGTGTTGTGAAAAAGAACGACAACATTAAACAGTTGTAAATGCATTCGGTTTTGCAAAAGCCAAAATTGGAATTTGTGTTTATTTTGAAAAAAAAAAAAAAAAAATTATATAATTACATGTATATAATCATGAGGATTACATAAAATGTGTTGTGTTGTCTGCAATACAAAGTAAACTTTAAAATCACAACTTTTTTCGTTTTCTTTTTTCTTTTTTCTTTATACTGTCCCAACTTATTCGGATTTGGGGTTGTACATCATGAGACATTTACATTACCAGACACTACAATATATCATTTTAAACTACAAAAAAAGAAAAATCAAAAAAGTAACTTCAGTATAAAAAGTTGTCAGAGCAGAGACCAAGGTGCTATAATGCAATAAAAATGTAATTAAAGTGAAAAACATCCAGAATCACAAGCTAAGGCAACTTTTCATTTATATATTTTAGGTTACAGTGTACAACAGGGATGTCAAACTGAAGTGTGTTGGCCTTAAGGACTGACGTTTGATCAGGTGTGTTTACTTAGGGATGGAACTAAACTGTGCAGGGCTGCGGCCCTCCAGAAATTGACATCCCTGGTGTACAGTAACGTAGCAAAACCCAGCCTGCTTTATAGCTGTTCTGTACAAAGTATACAAAATATACTACTGGAATTTGATCTTAAATAAAATGACATGCTTGCTATGTGCTTTATAACTGCAGGACTTGCCTGAAAACTTTTCGTATTTTGAATTAATATGAAAAGATTTGTCATGACTTGCAGTGACAAACAACAAGAAAGTCATTTTTGGAAGGTGTTTGATATAATAGTAGTTGATCTGAGAAGCCTACGTTTCTGTACCCATTAGCTACCATGTGCTTTCTAAACTGACCTAATTAGAGCAGTGACAGTTACTCAAAACTTTTGCCTAACCGAACTGTCGTTCGTTTTAAAAGATTTACCCATTACCCATCACTGCACTATTTTCCAATCATCGCATATTTTCCCCTATAGTCATTTGCATTGGTCATTGCCATACAGAAATCTGAGATGATCTGCAAATTATTTTTTATGACAAACAAACTTTATATTTGGATTTTACATACATAACATTTTTTTTTTTACGGTTTAGGATGAACACATAAAGAGAAAAGAGTCAGTGAGCCAAAAGTTTGCATTGATTTTGGTTAATAATTATATAGTTTGAATAATCTTAGCTATATTTTAGTAAACCCATAAAGAAATCTGATATGGAAATACATGCAAATTACATGTAATACAAAATACATGCAATTTCCTATAGGTTCATTTTAGATTTCACATAAATAAAATATGTAATATTTGCAACATATGTTCCTAATATATATATATATATATATATATATATATAGATAGATAGATAGATAGATAGATAGATAGATAGATAGATAGATAGATAGATAGATAGATAGATAGATAGATAGTTTGTCTAAATGTAGCAAAAAAAACTATTTATGTTTTTTTTAATCACTGTTAGCTAAAGCTTAAAGTCAGTTAGCTTAGCTATAATTTATTATATTGTATGCAGTATAAAATACTGTATAAAATATTGGTAATATTTTTGCAATATATATATATATATATATATTAGGAACATATGTTGCAAATATTACATATTTTATTTATGTGAAATCCAGTATGAATTCCATATTCCATATCAGATTTCTTTATGGGTTTACTAAAATATAGCTAAGATTATTCAAACTATACAATCATTAACCAAAATCAATGCAAACTTTTGGCTCACTGACTCTTTTCTCTTTACGTGTTCATCCTAAACCGTTAAAAAGTAGTTTTTTTACTTTCTATGAAACTAGCTGAGAGTGGCTTGATAAGCAGTCACCAACAAGCAAGAAGATCAAGTGGTGTGAGAGAATTTGATAATGACAAAGGGAATGTAACTAATCAGCAAGAGCAGTGAGGGTCAAACCCCTGTCTTAATCCCCCTATCTAGAGAGGGCATCAGCCAAACTATACAAGCGTGCTCATGTGCTGCAGTCAGGAATCGTTTACAATAGCTCTACAGACAGACATCTAAGCTGTAAGCATGTCTGAATGAGTGAATAGTGAATAGTTACATTTCTGATATTTTGTAGTAATACATTAGACAATTGCAAGACGACGTCAACACCAATTAGACTCATAAAGCGGCTAGTGGTAATACCTGAGTTAGAGCCCAATGGATTGGTGGCAGAAGGCTTCTGTGGTGGTCTGGATCTCAGGTTTCCTTCACTTCCAGCCCTCATTAGCCTCTCCCCAATGACCAGCATGTGTGAGCGGTTCCCCGCAGGGTCCTTTCGGGACTGCTTGGAGGGTTTGACCAGTCGTGAAGGTTTGGACATCTCTTTTCCTGAAGCACTCTTTCTTTTTCTTCTTCTTCTTTTTTTCGTTATCCAGAGGTATTGCTCACACCTCCAATTCTATCCCAACTTTGAATCCAACTAATTCATCTGCTCTTCTTCTTTGTTCAATGTCAATCTTGCTCTGAGGAATTCTGGAGGGTCGCACAAGTTAAGGAGTTGACCATCTGCACAGCTTGAGGCACTACAGTGAAGACACAACTGAACGCTTGAGAAACTGGACCATTGGAAGGGCTGTGGTTGTTCAACTCTCCTGCTATGCAGAAACGCTCAGCATGCTGATGCCTAATCACCTCTCCCGCTTTGGAGAAATGATCCTACTAATAATCCAGCACCGGGCAAGCATCAGGCTCTAATCTACTTGTGTAGTTGCTGGTGAAAACACAGTGCTCTTAATGCTGCTGTAATCTCTGTGTTTAGTCGCCATGCAGATTTAACCAGGGAGGCAGCAGGGATGATCACTGCGTGTCAGTTGCCTTCCTACTGCTGTGCATGCAGACCAGAGCCACAGCTAAGCCACAACCGGGCAGAGAGAGAGAGAGAGAGAGAGAGAGGAGAGAGATTTACTCCCATGTGCATGGCTGTGATAGGCTAAGAGTTCTAGTTACCTCCCTCCTTATTCCTATTCCTATCTATTCTTAAATAGAGAGTTACAGTCTGTCTCTTAGTCTGTCTATATTACAATACTCAGGTAGGCATGGAGTGTCTATACAATGCTCAGTTGACACTTAGGGGCCAAAGTGTGGCAAAAATATCCCACCACACCATTACAGCACTACCAGACTACTTTCAATACAAGGCTGATTAGATTCAATTCAATTCAATATAATTCAATTCAATTCATGTTTATTTCTAGCACTTTTAAAATGTAGATTGTATCAAAGCAGCTAAAACATGCAAGTTTTAGTAAATTGGAACTATATCAGTCCAGTTTTCAGAGTTGAAGTTCAGTTTAGTTCAGTTCAGTGTGGTATAATTTTCACTGCTGAAAGTCCAAACACTGTAGAACAAATCCATTGATGCGCAACTCCACAACTCCCAAACCAAGCAAGCCAGTGCGACAGCTGCAAGAAAAAAAAAATTAAATAAAAAAACTTCACCAATTGACAAAAGTGAAGAAAAAAAAAATCCTATCATGGCCTCCCAATCATCCCCATCCACTGAACTGGCTCTATCACTCTTTCTCCACTCCACCAATAGCTGGTGTGTTGTGAGCGCACTGGCGCCGTTGTCCTGTGGCAGCCGTTGCAAAGTGGATGCTGCAAACTGTTGGTGGTGTGGAGAGACTCCCCCCCCCTCATAATTGTGAAGCGCTTTGGGTGTATGGCCATACACAATAAATGCGCTATATAAATACACACATTACATAACATTACTTGGGATCAGTCCAGGCAATTGAAACAAGTGTGAAAGCACCCATATTGCGACTCAAGCTGTCAAACTGATGTCAACTGCCACTCCAAATCCAGAAACAGTTGGTTGAACTTTGATTGAAGACAAAACATGCCATCAACTTTATAGATTAATTGTTGACCTAAAGAAAAACAATGTGTGATAGAAAAAAATTAATAAATGGTCAATTTTGATTTCACATAGTCTTTATTTGTTAAAGTGTCTGACTGTAGTATTGGTAACCTAGCAACCAGCAGCAAACAAGGCAAGCATAATGAAGTCACGTGGTTATAACGCCCCTTTTCTCACAACTGCAAAGCCACTTCAAACAAGCGTAAAAGCTAAAGGATTTTTTTTTTTCAGAAAAATTCTACATTAATACAGGGTGATGGAAACCTAGCCAATCCAAAAGTTGAAACAAATTGACTCACCACGTGACCCTTTTTCAATCTTTAGTTGTCCAGTTTTTGTTAGCCCATGTGAACTGTAGTCTCAAACTGCTGTTCTACTTAGCTGACAGAGCTTTTACCAGTGCATTCTTCTGCTGTTGTAGCTGATTGCAAGTTTGATGTGCTCTGCATTCAGAGATGCTCTTCTGCAGACCTCAGTTGAAATGAGCTTTTATTTGAATCTGTGTTGCCTTTCGGTCAACCATTCTGGCTCTCTTCTTCTGACATGGGGCTTATAAATGCATAGGCTAACCTAGGCTGCTAACTGTAAATATATCTGTTGATCAATATGTATAATATGTTTTAGCTGTGTCAAATATAATAATGCAAAAACTAAATACAAGTTTTGTCATGAAATCAGTGGCCTGCTGATAGGTCCTATCCAGTCGCATTAGCAGCCAGCGAGCTTGCTCCTCTACATTTAAATATTTCTATATACATTAAAGTTTTGTCCATCTGCAGCACATTTTTTGAAATCCTCCTGCACCCCAGCTCCACCTGTGTGTAGATCTGCTATGTTTTTTTTATGGATGTTATGTGTGCAGCAGCAGTCTGTTATATGACAGTACAGTAGCAATTCTCTGTTCTTGCTCTGCATCAGAAATCAAAGCAGCAGCAGGGTAGCAGATCTATGTTGCCAAGAGCAAACACATAAATGTTGCCATATACTGTACATGTATACTGAGTTTTGATGACATAACTAAAGTAATAGAAGTTATAAACAGTGAAAGTCAATCCAAGGCACTCGATAAATGTGGAAAAAAATATTTTAAAAAACCTTCATTGACATGGATATTCCTTAAAACTCCACCAGCATACAACTCCACAAACTTTTGCTGTTTATTCTAAAGAATACCTGTTCCGAAGAGCACCGAGGCATTATTTAAGCTATGCCTATGCACTCTTTGTTCAGAGATGCTCTTCTGCATAGCTCGGTTGTAACGAGTGGTTATTTGAATTACTGTTGTTTTATCAGCTCGAACCAGTCTGGTCATTCTCCTCTGACCTCTGGCATCAACAAGACATTTACACCCACAGCACTGCTGCTCATTGGATATTTTCTCTTTTTCGGACCATTCTCTATTAATCCTAGAGATGGTTGTGCGTGAAAATCCCTGTAGATCAGCAGTTTCTGATACACTCAGACCAGCCCGTCTGGCACCAATAACCATACTATGTTCAAAGTCATTTAAATCAGCTTTCTTCCCCATTCTGATGCTCAGTTTGAACATCTTGACCATGTCTACGTGCCTAAATGCAATAAGTTGCTGCCATGTGATTGACTGATTTGAAATTTTTGTTTCCAAGCTGTTGGACAGGTGCACCTAAAAAAGTGAACAGTGAGTGTAAGTTTTGATTCATTATCTAAAGTTTAAATGAGAATGTAATAAACGTACAACAGAATCACTATCCTGCAAATGAGGTGCACAGATCCGCACTCTGAGGTACTCTATATTTAACCATTAACATTCATTTCATTTTAGCACACTTAAAAATAGTGTTGTTAATGCTTACTCAAAATATGGTGGGAGGTAATGTGACAATGATTCTGTTTTGCACCTCATGTTGAATGTCTGTAACATCACTCCATGCATCCAAGGCAGAAGGTTCATAATTGATTTTCTCACTTTTTATGCTGACAAATATCTGCCACCAAGTTTTAACACTAAGTGTACAGTCTACAACTTGTCCTAAAAAGGCTGAAAAACTCCAGCAGATATTGCAAACAATATATCTATTACTCAAAACAATAAATGTTGCAGCAAGAAAAGCATTCCTCTGACTAAAGCTATTATTCTCTCCAATTCCCCTCTGGAGTGACTCTGAACTAAACCAGAGCAAGGGATGGAGAAGAGTGATGAGATTGCTGAATGATTATGCTGCAGGAATAAAAGGGTCTTTAACAAGAACTATCAGCTTTTGGGGAGTACAATATTACAGTACAGAACCAATTCATAATCACATATGTTGTGTTCAGAGTTATATGAAACAGTTTAGAGGAGTTTTTCAGCATGAGCCAGAGTTTGTAATTGGGATGACTGCTCATATGAGAGCTGTTCACATGTGTGTTTATACTAGTTGTGAGATATGTGTTAATTAACAGTTTGTTCTGTACATTTGTTTAGATACATCTTGAATATATGCTTCTACTAACCACTCTGCAGTAGCAGTATTGATATGATATATACATACAGTTGAAGTCATAATTATTAGCCGCCCTTAGACTTTTTTCTCTTTTTTAATTATTTCCCAAATGATGTTTACCAGAGCAAGGAAATTTTCACACAATGTCTGATAATATCTTTTCTTCTGGAGAATTTGTTGTATTTCGGCTAGAATAAAAGCACTTTTTAAATTTTTTTAAACAACATTTTAAGGTCAAAATTATTAGCCCCTTTGGGCTAATTCTTTTTCCGATAGTATACAGAACAAACCATCGTTATACAATAACTTGCCTATTTACCCTACCCTAAGTCTTGAAAAATATCTAGTCAAATATTATTTACTGTCATCATGGCTAAAATAAAATAAATCAGTGATTAGAAATGAGTTATTAAAACTATCATGATTAGAAATGTGTTGAAAAAAAATCTTCTCTCCGTTAAACAGAAATTGGGGGAAAAAATAAGGAGGGCGAACAATTCAGGGGGGCTAATAATTCTGCCTTCAACTGTATATATTGTTTTAAGGGTATATGTAGTAAGAGAGTTGATCAGTATTTGGAACATAGCTACTAACCAAAACATAGCTACTACCAAATATGATGTTTTCATACATGTCCTAAATCTATGCTAAAATCTTTTCCATGTGTTAATATCAAGCTCAATTAAATCTGACCCTAATGGGATAGTGCATCTAAATTCTTGTCTAGTTTTAATATTGTTTTACTACATTGAGTTATCCCAGTGTGCACCTTTATATAGTCAATTGTAAACACTGTCTATTGTTTACCTTGATGTAAAAATTACATCAAGTTAACATCTAACATTGGCGTCAAACGACATGTTAAAAATCAGTTATAGGATTTTCCTGTAATCAATTTTTGATTTATTTTTTGATGTTGAAGGTTGAAACTTTCAGATAAATGAAACCTTTGTTAAGTTAAAATAATTTTTGGTGGTCAAAAGGTCATCAATGATTGGATATTAAATGGACGTCAAGTATCAATTTGCATTTTCGACTTGTTTTTTTTAATGTATTTTTTAATGTTTTATGGACATCAAGGTGCCTGCTGGGATATAATCATATTCTGAAAATGTATCTCATTCTGAAAATGTAGCCCTATATACGTTTCTGGATATCACAAATTATGTAGCTAGAGCTACGTATGGCTGCATTTTGTCTTTAAAACGAATGCTATGGGGCGGTATGACACCATTCCTTTTCTCGCTTCCTACTGCTACCTGCATGTGGACGACTTTTTTGCTGTTACCAGTTTTGTCTGTAAAGAACGTTTTTTAGAAAACAGTCAATCCGTGCTTTTTAAAATACTATTGATTGGGTTTATGAAAGGGGGACGGTGGGGGTATCAGTCAGTTGGTCAGTCAGTTAGTCAAGAATACTCAAAAGGGTAGCATCACTAATGCACAGTCATACACAAAGGCAATCGATCAAGGCAGGATTTTCTTTAAACCCTACAATGAATTTAGTTTTTATTTTCACCAAGCCTTAAGTACATTCACAGAACACAAAGTA